CAGGAGGAGGAGGTGCTATCATTACTACAGGAGGAGGAGGTGCTATCATTACTACAGGAGGAGGAGGTGTTATCATTACTACAGGAGGAGGAGGTGTTATCATTACTACAGGAGGAGGAGGTGCTATCATTACTACAGGAGGAGGAGGTGCTATCATTACTACAGGAGGAGGAGGTGCTATCATTACTACAGGAGGAGGAGGTGTTATCATTACTACAGGAGGAGGAGGTGCTATCATTACTACAGGAGGAGGAGGTGCTATCATTACTACAGGAGGAGGAGCTATCATTACTACAGGAGGAGGAGGAGCTATCATTACTACAGGAGGAGGAGGTGCTATATTACTACAGGAGGAGGAGGAGCTATCATTACTACAGGAGGAGGAGGTACTCTCATTACTACAGGAGGAGGAGCTATCATTACTACAGGAGGAGGAGGAGCTATCATTACTACAGGAGGAGGAGGTGCTATCATTACTACAGGAGGAGGAGCTATCATTACTACAGGAGGAGGAGCTATCATTACTACAGGAGGAGGAGGAGCAATCATTACTACAGGAGGAGGAGCTATCATTACTACGGAGGAGGAGGAGGAGCTATCATTACTACAGGAGGAGGAGCTATCATTACTACAGGAGGAGGAGGAGCTATCATTACTACAGGAGGAGGAGGAGCTATCATTACTACAGGAGGAGGAGCTATCATTACTACAGGAGGAGGTGTTATCATTACTACAGGAGGAGGTGCTATCATTACTACAGGAGGAGGAGCTATCATTTGTCAAAGGAAATAAAAAGGGAGATTAAGAGTGAATATAAAATGTAGAAGACGGAGGAGGTGCAGGAGGAGGTGCAGGAGGAGGTGCTGTTACCCGGCTGCACGGAGGCCCTCAGCGCCCCCACGTTGTGATGGAAGGCGTCTCTGAGGTCCAGGAGCGTGAAGCTGATCCCGGCGTCCTGAAGGAGGCGAGACGCCGTGATGCCCCCGAACCCACCACCAACCACCACCACGTGTACACTACTGTCCAGGGGGGGGGAGGAGGAGGAGAACCAGGCCCCCATATCTACACACACACACACACACACACACACACACACACACACACACATACACACATGAATTAAATAACAAGTTAATACAAGAAAGTATACTTAAAGTACCAAAAATAAAAGTAGAATAATAAATAAAATGAACTAGTAAACACATCTATTAAATAAATATAGTGCAGTAAAATGAGTTACACTATGTGGCCACTAGGGGGCGTTTTATGTTCAAATTAAGCCTCAAGAAGTGACCTGTTCTGTGATCCTATTGGCTGGAAACTTCAACCCTTCATCTCACCACCAACACTGATTATATTTAAAAATGACTCTGACGTTATGATGGTTTTATTAAAGTCTGAAGAGGCTTCTGCTTTTCAGGATAACTTCTCAAAGTTTCTGAACTCAGTCTTCCTTCACTTTTAGCGCCCCCTGTTTCCTCTCCATGTTGCTTTAATCAGCTGTTGTCAGTCACGTGACTATCATGGACTGCAGGTGAACTCACCTGCTGCAGGTAGAAAGGTTATTGGATCTCAGGTAATATTCTGATAATTAATATTGTTATGATTTTCTTTTCCTGCTTCTTCTCTGCCGGCGTCTTGGTTTCTGACGATGTGACGTCTCTCCGCCAATCACAGCTCTCTGGGGGCGGGCTCAACTCCTGGTGCGTTCAGGTGCTGCAGGAAAATACACAAGTATTACATAACAATCTATTTATCCTTAACATTTTTAATCCTATTTTGTTATTGTTTGTCTTATTTTTATTATTATTATTACGTGTGTTTTACTCCATTAATTATTGCAATAAATACCAGATTGTAAGTTCATTCAATGGCTATTTATTCTTTATGTACAGGACACATAATTTATTATTAATGTTAAAACTTATGGAAATAAATTATTCAGAAAAAAACTGTATATTTTTTTATATTAACAAAAATGGATCTATAACCACATTTTGACTCTTTAACATTTTTAAATATAGGTTTACTTTAAAACATTTTATTTGAGTTGTTTCTCTACATTTTGGGATTTATTGTGCAAAGTACATTATTTTTATATTTATTATCATCGGTCCAAACCTTGATTTATTATATTATATATATTATTATAATTATTATTCTGTATTTATTATGATTATGATTAATATTATAATCATAATAATATATATATATAATTGACACACCTTATCTGTATTTTTAAATGAATTATTTTTAGTTATATCTGAGTGCAGCAGGCTACAAATGCTACTACTACTACTACTACTACTACTACCTCACGGCGTCGTCAAGTTGCCATAGAGACAAAGGAAAGACCAGAAAATATGCTTTTATCTTTTCAAAATAAGAGTTACTTCAAATATGTTGCCAAACCTAGCAAAATAATATAATCGTAAATTCCCTTAATTGTTTATAATTGATTATGTTGCTTGCTAATATAATCTTAACGCTAAGTTAAATAAAGACATGTTGCATACTGTACCTGCGAAGGTTATAACAAGCACAGGTCTGGCGGGTAGCATTTTATTTTTGAAAAGCTTGACCGGAAGTGTGTCTCCGGTGCTCTCAGGCTACGGGAGTCGGTGCTCCGTTACTCTCGGTGTGTCTCGGTGGTTTAACAGCGGACTGTCGGTGGTTTAACGGCGGACTGTCCGCAGCTGAAGAGACACATTCATGGGGAAAACGTGAAGAAACCGGAGAGGAACCGGGGAGGAACCGGAGAGGAGGAGCACTTTCATCCGCGGTAAGAAAACTAACTTATAATCAGTTACCGTTAACTTTTACTTAAGTCGTTAAAGTTTCCGTTATTAGCGGAGCCGTTTCCCGTTCATATGTAAATACTTTTAAATGTATTTTATTTATTTTATTTTGTGTGTGTGTTGTGGTTAGTCTGGCGCGAGCCTTTTGTTCCTCGCGGCACCGTTCCCATGGTGAAGCTTCATCAGCTCGCGAGACTTTACGTAGCACGTTTAGTGTTTATTTACGTAACGTCAACTGACAACCGTTGTTTTTTAAACCACATTTCTTCAACTTTTTAAAATGTTTTATTTATTTATTTAAGAATATATAAGTAGGTCTACATCATTTATCTTATATAGCATAAAGCTCAAATCAGAGGTAGACATGTAAAGTATTAAATACATAGAAATACAGTTTCACATTTCATATTTAATATATAAATACACAATGTGCCTTTTCATCCATAATGTTTTTGCTAATATATTGTTTAAATTCTTAATACAAATGTATAAAATTAGGTCTGGAGTCCCATCTCTTTTTATGGATTATTATATTTCCCTAAAAATAAAATTAACTGAAAATCCATAATATTAGTATCTGTAAAACAGTGACAGTTTTAACGTTATTTATATAATGTTATTGATTAAATCTCACCACTTTTCAACTGCTTTTTATCTGTATTTTTAGTGTGTTGTGTTTTATATATTTTTAGTGTGTTGTTTTCTATGAATTTCTACATGTAAAGTGTCTTACCATGAAAAGCGCTTTGTAAATAAAATGTCATATTATTAAAATATATGTCATTTTTAATAATGCTGTGCTAGGAAGACTCACAATCATTAAATAAAGAAAAACAATCTAGAATCCAAATCTACTTTAAGTACCATAAGTAAAAATACCCATTATGAAGAATTATTTATAATTGTATAATGAATATTTCATTAATATTTAATAATTTATGATATTTTTACGTAAGTGTTTTTATTTACATTACGTCAACGGACAACATTTTTTACGTTACTACTACTACTACTACTACTACTACTGCTACTAATGCTACTACTACTACTACTACTACTACTACTACTGCTACTAATACTCTTTATATATACAGTATGCTACTACTACTACTACTACTACTGCTACAAATGCTACTACTACTACTACTACTACTACTACTACTACTACTACTACTACTACTGCTACAAATGCTACTACTACTACTACTACTACTACTGCTACAAATGCTACTACTACTACTACTACTACTACTACTACTACTACTACTACTACTGCTACAAATGCTACTACTACTACTACTACTACTACTACTACTCTACACTACTACTACTACTACTGCTACAAATGCTACTACTACTACTACTACTACTACTGCTACAAATGCTACTACTACTACTACTACTACTACTACTACTACTACTGCTACAAATGCTACTACTACTACTACTACTACTACTACTGCTACAAATGCTACAAATGCTACTACTACTACTACTCTTTATATATACAGTCTATGTTCCTACTACTGCTACTACAAATGCTACTACTAATACTACTAATACTGCTGGTTAATATCTTTTTTTTTTACGTTATTCATTTAATATAACAATACATATACCGTAATAAGATTTCCAATATTAATACTTTTGTAATTGTTCTGTACTTTAAAGTCTTACCTAAATACATTTAAAAA